TCAGATCATTTCCCTATATTCCTAAAATTAGATAATACAAACTCTGAAAAAACTTTAACCGCACAAAGAGTAATTAGAAAACGCATTAATAATGAGGCTAACCTTAATTTATTCAAAAATCAACTTTCATTACTACACTGGAATAACATAAATTTTAATGATAATGCTAACAATATCTATGAGTCTTTTTTCAAAACATTTTTTTCTGTATACGATGCTAACTTCCCAATCATTGAAAATAAAATAACTACTAAGAGCTTAAATACACCCTGGATCACTAAGGGCTTTAAAAAATCGTCCAAAATTAAGCAAAAACTATATATAAATTTTTTGAAAACAAAAACACCTAAAAACGAAAAAATTTACAAGGACTACAAAAACCTATTTGAAAAAATTCGCAAAAATCTAAAAAAAAATTATTACTCCCAATTACTCAATACATTTAAAAATGACACAAAACGCACATGGCAAATAATGAATGAAATTATTGGAAAACAAAAATCATGCTCAGGTTTTCTGCCACAAATGGTTAGAGTCGATAACAAAAGTTTATACGAACCAAGAACTATAGCTCAAGAATTTAACAAATTTTTTATCGATATAGGTCCAACACTTTCTAAAAAAATCCCAAACACCAAATCTTTATTTACTGATTTTCTAGTACCCATTGATAATTGCATTGGTTCAGTTGAGTTGTCTTCTGAATTGTTGTTTGAAGAGTTTGAAAGAGCCTTCAAATCTTTAAAAAAAAATAAAGCAGTTGGAGCAGATCAAATAAATGGAAACGTTATTATAGATTGTTTTGAACAGCTAAAAGTTGTTCTTTTTAAAGTTTTTAAAGCTTCTATCCATCAAGGTGTTTTCCCCGAACTGTTAAAAATTGCCAAAATTATTCCTATTTTTAAAGAAGGGGACAAATCAATTATAAGTAATTATCGCCCTATTTCTGTTCTTTCCACCTTTTCAAAAATTTTAGAAAGAATTATATATAACAGAGTATACAAATATTTTCATGTTAATAAATTACTTAACATTAATCAATTCGGTTTTAAAAAGGATAGCTCAACTGAACATGCAATTATCCAATTTGTACGGGAAATCTCAAAATCATTTGAAAAATCACAATATACTCTAGGACTTTTTATTGATCTATCAAAAGCTTTTGATACGGTTGACCACCAAATTCTAATCCATAAACTTAAACACTATGGAATAAAAAATAAAGTTTTAAAATGGTTTGAAAGCTATTTGTCAAATCGTAAACAATTTGTTCCGAGTAATGACGGTTATCACACCAATTGTCTTTCTATAACATGTGGAGTCCCACAAGGCTCAATTCTTGGTCCACTCCTTTTCCTAATTTATATTAATGATTTAAATAAAGCCTCTAAACTAACAAGTATTATGTTTGCAGATGATACTAACTTATTTCTTTCTAACAGTGATATCTTTGAACTTTTTAAAACAATGAACAAAGAGCTTATACATGTATCGAGTTGGTTTAAATGTAATAAGTTAACTCTAAATTCTAATAAAACAAAGTGGACCTTATTCCATTCGCTTTCCAAAAAACGATATTTGCCATTAAACTTACCTAAAATTTTTATTGATCAAAATGAAATAAAAAGGGATTCCGTAACAAAATTTTTAGGTGTTTACCTTGATGAAAACATCACTTGGAAGCATCATATCGACTACATAAGCACTAAAATTTCAAAAAACATAGGAGTTTTATATAAAGCACGAATCTACCTCAATAAGAAAATTTTAATCAAACTTTATTATTCATTTATACACAGTTATTTAAATTATGCTAATATCGCCTGGGGTAGTACAGAAAAAAGTAAGTTGCAACGTCTTTATCGCCGTCAGAAACATGCTATCCGTTTAATCTGCTTTGCAAATCGCTTTTCTCACGCAAAACATTATTTTATTGAAATGAGAATTTTAAATATATACGAGCTAAATATATATAATGTTTTATGCTTTGTATACATGTGGAAAAATGACTTGTCTCAATCTGTCTTCAAAGATATTTTTACTCCGAAACCCATCAACAAATACAATTTGAGAAATACTGATTTTTTAAATGAACCTTTCTGTCAAACAAACTTTAATCAATTTTGTATTGTCTATCGGGCACCACACCTTTGGAATAAAATTGTTTTGCCCAATTTTGATTTCGAACTACCCATTACTTTTCGTTTTTTTAAAAGTAAATTAAAAACCCTTATTTTTTCATTAGAAGACGTATTATGTTATTATTAATAATATAAATTAATAACTTTGCCTTTTCTTATTTATATTTGTAAAAAGTTTATTCTTACTTATTTTGCTGATTTTATATTCTTTACTTCACGTATACGTTTATATAAAATATTAGTGAGTAAATCCGCGTGATCTCTCTTTGGATTATAAAATATATATTTGGATTATATATATATGAAATTTGTAAAAATTTGATACTGTTAATGCTTGTTTGAACTTATTTAAGGTTCTGACGACAAGATCCTTTGATCTTCTTTCAGATACCTTATTTTATATTTGTGAAAGTTTATTATTATCATCATTATTTTTATTTTTTTTTTTTTGGCAATATATAGTTGTAATACGACCAACAAATGTAAAATTAAAAAAAAAAAAAAAAAAAAAAAAAAAAAAAAAAAAAATTATTTTTATCTTTCAAGGTATATAAATTATGGAAAGAAATAGGGGAGGAATTTATTTTACATTTGTACATAAAACAAAGAGTATTAAAAACATTGAGCTGAAATATATCAAAAATTTTCATTTCAGATAAAAGAGGCCTGGCATGAGTAAATCTGTCTTTAAAATTGATAAGACGAGCAACATGCTTCTGCTGACGATAAAGAGGTTTAAGTTTACTTTTATTGGCATTACACCAAGCAATGTTTGCATAGTTTAAATGACAGTGGATAAAAGAAAATATAATTGTGTTAAACTTTGTTTATTTAAGGCATTTCTAGCCTTACATATTATTCCTATACTTTTAGCAATTTTGTTGTACAAAAAATTAGTGTGGTATTTCCAGGTAAGGTTTTTATCAACATGGACACCTAAAAAGTTAGTATTTATTTCTCTTTTTATTTGAATTTTGTCTATAAAAAGAAAGGGCAAATTAGGAGGCAGTAGTTTCTTTTTAGAAGTCGGATGAAAGAGTGAGCATTTTGTTTCATCCACATTTTGAACCGCTCACAAATTTTCTCTAATTCGATGTTCATAGTTTGAAATAATGTTAAAATACATTTATGCGATAAAAAAAGATTAGTGTCATCAGCAAACATGTCAGTCATTAAATTTGACGCTTTAGAGAGATCACTGATGTAGATTAATAAAAGAAGATGTCCGAGTATAGAGCCCTGGGGAACTCCACAGGTTATATTTAATAGTTGTGTTCCTATAAATAAAAGTGTTCCTTTTTTTGCTTTTGGAAAAAGCATTTATTTCTTGCAACCAATGATCCGCTTTGATTTGTAAATTCTATCAACTTTTATTTCATTCCACTTCTGAATCAATTCTACTTAAAAAGCCTTTGTGCTCTTTGTAGGATATGCTAAAATGTACACGTGAAAAATACGTTCATTCTATAAAAAGAATTTATCGGCGCTTACAAATCAGATGCACATAAAAATTAATTGAGAAACAAATTTTCAAATGTGGTCTAGAAATATTAAATGCGTATGTTTACACAGCTATTTTTAAATACTTTTTTATATTCAACTTTTTATGTTATATTGTTTTATGGTAAAATGTGAATTTATTTATACGTAAACTTTTGTCACTACTTAACGCGTGAGTGCATTAAGCCTCATTGCATCATTTCGAATTGCATTTGTTTACAATATCGTTTTAAAAGTAAATTATATATATATAGTTTTTAATATAAAAATTTTTTTTATTGTTTTTTGTGACGTAACACTTCTTTAACCCCCTCCGTCCTCCTTGTCACAGATCGTCACAAAAGTCTGGACCTCCTCCCTCCCCTAGATGTGTGACGTCGTTTATAGACAGCCCCTAATCAATATTGCAAATCACTTCTCTCATTCAAAGCATTATTTTATTGAAATGAGAATTCTGAATATATACAAATTAAATGATTTTAATATTTTATGTTTTGGATATATGTGGATAAATAACTAATCCCTAGCTGTCTTCAAAGATCTTTTCTCTTTTAAACCAATCAGTAAATATATTTTGAGAAATAATAACTTTTTAAATTTTTTTCAAACAATCTTTAATCAATTTTGTATTACCTATCGAGCGCCACACCTTTATCGTTATTGAGCTATCGAGCGCCACACCTTTATCGTTATCGAGCTATCGAGCGCCAAACCTTTGAAATAAATTTTTTTTGCCGAATTTTAATTTTGAAGTACCTATTACTTTTTGCCTTTTTAAAAAAAAACTCAAAAACCTCATTCTTTCATTAGATAATATATTATTATTAGTAGTAAAAGTTAAAAATATAATTTGGTCTACTTTTTTATTGTTTATACATTGTTTATACGATGTCTTATTCTACGTTTATAGAAGTTTATTTCTACTTTATTTATTTATTATTCTTATACTTTTTACTTTTTAATTTATGTGTTGGTTTACTCTTGTATAAAATTCTGATAAGAAGATCTTCTTGATATTTCTTCATACACAGATTATTTACCTTATAATTTAATAAAAGTTTATTAATTTTTTTTATCTTATCTTTGTTAAATGCTTATTTACAGTGCAAAAATTGTGCTTTGTTGCAAGACAAAAAGTCTTGCAACAAAGCACAATTTTACACAAATCAATATTTACCCAAATGCAAAAAAATAATTACTTTTCATAATTACTTCCAAAACATTTTTTCTTGCAACATCATAATCACTTTTCATAATTACTTCCAAAAACAATAATACTTCCAAAAACATTATATTTTCACCAAAAATAAGTTCAATTATTTTTATTACATTGTAAAATCATTTTAAACAGATGAAGTATTAATATTTGCTAGGATATCCTTTGTTTTTTAACACAGCACTAATTCGTTTGGGCATGGTTTTGGCAAGATTTTTACATAGTCCTGATGTAATTTCTGTACACCATACATGACGAATAGCATTTTTTAAACCATCTAATGAACTGTAGCTTTTAGCAGATATGCGCTTCTTGATTAACATCCAAAGATTTTCAATTAGGTTGAGATCTGGAGAATTTCCAGGCCAATCAAGCAACTGTATGTTTTTTATTTCAAGCCACTGCTTCACAATTTTTCAATCATGTTGAAAAATTGTGCGCTGATGAATAATCATGAAATTGATTAGAGATTCATCCAAAACGTTGAGGTACTATTTTGCATTCATAGTTTCTCCTTTGGGAAAAAAGTATAAATCTCTGAGGCCATGAGCAAAAAAACAACCCCACACCATTACAGAAGGTAAATGCTTCACAGTTTTGCATGTGTATTTAGGATTGGTAGGATTAGAACTAGTAGGTTGACGAACAATAAGCTTAACATCAGAGAACTGATGAAACATGGAATCATCACTGAACACCATCTGTGTCCAATATTGATGCTTCTGTCTCTTTTGTCCAATCTTGATGCTTCTGGCAGAACTCAATGCGCTTTTTTTTCATCTTTTTAGTTATGAAATGGCTTCTTAAATGGCCTTCGTACAGGTAAGTTTAATTCCGCAGAAAGTCCGCGACGGATTGTACGCTTTGAGACATTAGAAAGTGTTGGTATGCTGTTCTGTAGGTCACCAGAGGTGTTTGAAGGATTCATCTTGAACATTGTTACCATCCTGAGGTCAATACGCTGTGAACTGACTCTAGAACGTCCAGACCTTTTTTTAGGAGACAGGGGAATAACCTGCTTACAACATGCCAAATTGTAGTGCGTTCTACCATATAAATTGTTGCAATGTCTGCATGAGACATACCATTTTTAGCAAGACCTTGAATGCATGCTTTTTCTTCTTTACTAAGCTGCTGAACCTTAGCCATGATTTTCTCTGAGTTAACTGTTTAAGCTACAAAATTATCTTTATAAATATATTTATACCTAAAGATAAAAATATAAGGTAATAAACCTGTAAGGTTCTGACGACAAGATCCTTGCAATCTTCTATCAGGTACCTTGTTTATATTTGTTATATTTTCTATCATTGTATGTTTATATTATTTTTATCATTGGTTAATTAAAGCTGTACAACAATTAACAATTTTAAACCAAAAAAAAAAAAAAGTTTTTCAAGCATTCATCGAACCTTATACCTGCCGATTCTAAAAAAAGCGTTTCAACCACTGCGCCAAGGCTGATCAAATTTGGCTCGTATTTAAATCAACAATAAAAAAAACAAAACACATAATGGAAAGGCGTAGTTATAAAACTCAAAATACAGTAGGTTGAATATTCAGTAAGTTGAAAATTCAGTAGGTCAAAATACAGTAGGTCAACGATTTAGTAGGTTGGAAAATTAATAGTACATGTTTTAATTAATTGTAAATATAAAAACCAAAAATTGTCGGTTAAAAGTTAAAAAATGTCATAATCTACGATTTACGAAATTTCAAAGTTAGGTTGAATTCTAGGCCACCGAATAATTGAACTTCAAAAATGACACAAGTCCATTTATTAAAAACTTTCAATATCAACAAAAAAGTTTTGGTGCTTAAGACACTAAACATAAGAGTTGATAATTAAGACTTTTGTGAGTTTTATTTATTATAAAAAAAACATAAATTATAAAGAAATGTTAAATTTAAATTTTTAAACTAACTGTTTAAATTTTTTGACTTATGTTCTTTTTGAAATGACGGGTTCAATTATTTATTTTACTTTTATTTTTCTTTGGAAAAAATATAAGTAGATAATACTTCATAAGTAAATGGACTTTATCTTAAAATTTTGCATTTTAGTTTTTTTTTCCGTGGTTAACCTTTGGACCACGGTTGCCATTTCTGCATATTGCTTCAATAGTTATTACCTTAAGTCGCGATCACATTTCTACAATTTTATTCAAAAAGTACTAACCTGCAGTCGGCCGCTTTTTTTTACATTTTTATTACATTCAATTAAACTTCTCATTTAGTTTCTTCAGATATGAGGCTCCAGGAAGACCCAAAAGTCTAATCACAGAGCACCACGGAATAGTTTACTGAGCAAGTTCATGCCTCTAACCTTATCAATCATGCTTATCTGGCCAGAGGCGGCATTATTACCTTTGACCTTTTGGTTCTATTGGAGCCAGAGGTCTAGCCACTTTAATATATTTTAGTTTATATTTATCACTAAATTACTCTTTTAATGAATTTTAAACTAAGTATAATTATTTTGTACCTTTATCTATAATAGGAGCTTAGTCTTCATCAGTAGTTATAAAAGGTGTGAAAAGGTTGTAAAACAGCTTGTTTTTATAAGTTTTATGAGTACTTAAAAAAACTTTTTTTGTCATATCTTATTAAAAGTTAATCAAAAAAGACAATTGTTATAAACTATTTTGAGTGTCTGAATGTAATGTAGAGGTTTGATGCCGCCAGTATAATATTTTGAGTATCTGTATATACAGATACCCAAAATATTATTCTGGCGGGGTTTTTAAATCTAGTCTTCTAATGTTTTTTTCCTTATCAATCGATTTTGTATAAACTATATAATTGGAAAACTGTGGCATTAAATAAACTGTATCAAAACAATCGGTTTCTATTTTTTTTGAATAAAACTCGAGTATGGAAACATCTTAATAAAATTGTTTTTTTATAAAAAAATATTATTATTTAAATATAAAATGTGATAAATGTTTTTTTTTAGCTTTTAATCGTTACTTTTAGTTCAAGCTGCAAAATGTATTTGAATTTTATTAATTTTCAAAAATTTTACATGTATTTTTAATTTTCAAATTTAAAACCTATTCAAATCTTGGAAATAAATTATTTACAAAAAACTGCATCCTTTAAAAGCCTTAGTTAGGCAACTGGGCTTCTTGTTGATTAATCTTAAACTTGTGTAAAAATTCGCCAACAATAAAATTAAAAATATTTGCTATAATGTCTATATAATTTGCTTTGTTTAAAGCTGCAACTCTAAAAAGAAGAACCGCGTATATATATTTTAACTTACTACTAAAAACAACAATAAAAGACTTACAAGTTACGTAACATTCTTCCTGAAAACACTAGTAACAAAGTCAACACTAGTAACAATAGTGTAGAATAACAATGAAAAATATTGATCAGCACTACCAGCTGTGACGCATAAAGGTTTTCTACAAAACAGCAGTTTGCAAACGCTTATTTTTATTGCAATAATGATGTTTCTTATACTGATTTCAGCGTTCATTTTGCACGCAGAAAGTAGCGACGTTGATACAAAATGTTTGGTAAACGAGCATTTAAATGGTTGCAGCACTCCTTTTCATTTACCACTTCCGTACAAAGGAATGTTTACACCAGCATGTATGACGCATGATATTTGTTACAGATGTGTAAGTCTTCTAAAATATTTTAATTTTAAGATTTTTTTGACTTTTTTCTGTTTTTCTTTTCTTTTTTTAATCTGAGAATTAAGTTTAGAAGACATATGGTATCCTTTTAATTCAAATAAAAGCTTAAATAAGTTAAATTAACAGTTAATAGCACCTTATAAATATTGATTAAATAGCACCTTATAAATATTGTTCTTTTATTTTATTTTACCAGCTCTTGATTTTTTAACCTAATTCTCGAATAGTCTACAAAAAATTGCATAATTATAAAAAATAAGCTCTTTATATTTCTCAAAAAACAAAAGTTATATATTATAAAGCTAAACTATAAAAGTTATATAAAATTAATAAAATTTATAACTGGATTAAAAGCTAATCAAAAGAAACATTTACGTAATATTCAATCTGAAGAATTATGTGAAGTTATAAAACTGATTAAGATCGCATAATAACTATTTTTTACATGAATGTGTGATGGCAAAAGATGACTAATCGCGTTAAAAAGATGATTAATCACGATGCGTGTGATAAATAATTGAATAAATAGATCATTTTCATCTATTTTGCTGTATCATACAAAATTGAGGAACTTTTTCCTTTTTAATTTATGTTTTCAGCCCCCCAACTTTCGCGACCTTCCTACGCCACTGCTACAAAGTATTTACAAGTAACCAATCACAGATTGGCGGTGAAGATATACAAATATAAATATCATAAAAATAAAGTTCGAAATATACGAAGTAAATAAAGAAATAGTTGTAGAGTTCTACAAGTATCGATTCTCCAAGGAGAGATTCTTAGTTCTTATGTTTAAACTCGTATGTTTAATTTTTACAAATAATTTTTGAATTAATTCCTTAATTTCATGAATTACAAAAATTATAAAACAAGAAAATTGTGTGCGGCCGTGGTGCAGTGATTACAGCGCTTGCTTTATAAGCAGGAGATCTAGGTACGACGAAGCGAGCTCTGGACATATTTTCGCATCACGGTAAGAAGGAGGCGTGAACTTCTTGCTCTCAAAATCTTCCTCTCATGTTGCCTGATTTTTTATAAAATTAAAAAACTCAAAAGCAAGTCAAAATAAATTTTTTAGAAAATGTTGTTGTTGAATATTTATTTCGATTTTCTCAAATATACATGAAAAATATATTCTAAAATGTCTTGGTTTCTTGGTTTATCGTGGTTTACTCATATAAGCTTAGCCAAAAATCACTAAAATTATTTGGTCAACATTACCAAAATGATTCACTAAGTTCGCTCATTTATCAGTGCACAAAATATCATATACATTGGATAAATACATACAAATATTTTATAGGCAAATACACAACCATTAAAACTCAAAAAAAGTTAACATGATCTATTAAGTTGATCTATTACAATTAAGTTTTTATATTTATATTTTCCTTTTTTTTTTTTTGTTTTTCCTATGGTACACGATGGTTCTTTTAAGGAAGAAACTTAAAGCGTTAATTAAATGTTGCTTTTTTAGGGTCAAATAAGGAGAGAAGATAAAGATATATTTTTCTTCTACGGCAATAACTGCCTTAGTCTAATTTATGACGACCTCTTAAACATGTTTACAATTTCCCCTTGGGAGAAGGTCGTAGCTGTATTACTTAAACGACTAAATATTTTAGTTGTTTAAGTGTTAGGTGTGGTAAATTTTTGCGCTGTAAAAGCATTTCAATATCCAATATTTCATTATCAATATTTTTTTATCAATATCTACCAACTAGAACTGGTAATAGGTGGGATAGGGGGTAATAGATTAATTTTTTTTTTAAATTTTTAAAAAGAAATCAGTTGAAAATTGATTTAAACGAAAAATATTTTATTGAAGAGAAAAAAAAAGCCCAGAATTAATAAGCAGCAGTAGCGCAACTCAGAAACAACACAGATAAATCAACCGACGCACAGTGAATCAGCTCATACAATCTAGCTGGACAAAAGTCTATTCAAGGAACCAATTAGTAGATATTCCCATAATATTACTAAATACTCCTTAGAGAAAAATTCAAAATATTATTTAGTGTACGGGTTTTTAAGTGTTAAATCATTAGCTCTTAAACCTCATATTTTAGTAAAAAAAATTAGCTGCAATATTGCTGTGTAACAATAACGTATAACTAATTTATTGTAAATAGTAACTAACTCTGCTGTGATGAATTTTACATTAGAGGGTATGTACTTTGTATTTTATCGAAAACTTATTTAAAATAATTGTCATAGGTGATATTCTGTAGCTTTAAAAAAACTATGTTAAAACTGCAACTTTTTTTTTCGTTTTTTAATTTTCAAAGCGTGTAACTAATTTTATCCAAATATATCCAGACTGATTTTTTTATTTTATTATAATCACAACAATAAGACGTCTAAATATAAAAATTTGCCTGCCCGTGTCAGCCCGTTTCACTTTTATTTAATTTTCTTCAGACCGAGTGTATTCTATTACAAAGTTGGAGTTATTTGAAGAATGGCAAAAACACGCAAAGGAAGAACGAAGTTCTCTTTTGTGATTCGAAAAAAATACAGCTAAAAAATGGCAAGCATATCCGCTAAATTTGCGCAAAAGTGGATTGCAGCCAATAGAAATATAGATCATTTTTTAAATAAAAATAAAAGTTGGTTAGAGGGCAATAATTTAGAATTTAAAATAAATTTCTATCGGTCCTGTGCTTCTACAACATCTGAAGTAAGCCGGCCTTAAGATTGGCCAAAGAAAAACTTTGAAGACTCATCCTTAAAAACCAAAAGACGTAGAGTTGAAGACTTATTGCAATCGTGGAGTGCCAATGATTTAAGAACAGCTGCTAAATTAGCACATCGTTTGTCGGGTCAAAGAAACGTAGCTACTTCTATTAGAAAAAGTACAGAAACCTTAGAGTGAAGAAAATCTACAAATTTTATTTGTGGTATCAGACAGTTGAGTAGCGATTAGCGATGAGGCACTTGCTTATTATGTAGATTCCAAGTGTACTAGTCACTCTTATAAACAAACAAAAAAGTGGTCAATGAAAGCAGGGCATGAAGTGTTTCTGTCTTAATTTAATTTATGTAAATCCAAAAGGTTGTGTTATCCTCCAGAAGAATTTATTTCTATCTCAGAAATACGAGCTGAAATTAAACTTCAAGCCATATTTAACAAAACAACTTAACGTTTAATTGAATTACTAAGTCAATTTCCAAAAAATGCGTCCTCTAATTTGTCGCTTACATTAATAAGCAAATGGGGATGTCATGGAAGTTATGGCCACAATACCTATAAACAAAGATTTGAGAACTCCGATGCTAATGATGATTTTCTGTTTGTTACAATGACAGACGGAAAAGTATGCAATGCTTTAACTGATACGCCCTCTACACAAAAATGTTATATTTGTAGTGCTACTTTAAGAATGATGAATGGTGAATTAAAAGGTATGGTTGATAAAAGAGAAAATTACAATTTCGGTCTTTCAACATTGCATGCTTGGATACGTACTTTTGAATGTCTGCTACACATTAGCTACTGTTTAGATAATAAAAAGTGGTAAGTTAGAGGCAAAGAGGATAAATGTCGTATCAGAAATTGTTCAAAAGAGATTAGGCAAAAGCTTCGGAAACAAATGGGACTTATTGTGGATAGACTGAAGCCTATGGAAATACAAATAATAGCTACACAATTCGCAGTGTTTTTTTTTAATCCAGAAAAGAGCGAAGAGATTACAGGATTAGACGTTAAATTAATTAAAAAATTTAGTGCTTTGTTAAGAACGCTATTTTCTGGCCATGACATTGATTGTGTCAAATTTGAAAAACTTTGTTCTGAAACATATTTACATTTATACTCGGGGTATTACATGTCTGTTACAGTGCATAAAATTTAAATGCATAGCATGGAAGTAATAAAGTCGTGTATTCTTCTGATTGGCCAACTCTCAGAAGAATCTCTAGAAGCACGAATTAAAGATTGTGGGAGATTTTAAGAGCATCACGCTAGGAAAAAGTCAAGTATTTCTATAAATATGGATTTGCTGAATATGCTCTTAATAACATCTGACCCTGTTATTAATTCACTTAGAGAACTGCCTGCAAAAAGAAGCAAAGAATTACCAGTAGAGGTATTGAATTTGATTTTTATAGCTCCAAGAATAGGAAATTGTAACTTGTCCGATGAATCCAATGATGAGTCATCTGACGATTCAAGTGATGAGTGTTTGGTGGATATAAACGGCGAGTTTTTTGATAACTAAATATAAAATTTATAGTATAACATTATGTATCCTTGTTTCATGAAAATATTTTTTCTTTCTTACTTTATTTTTTTTATCATAACAGTGGTTGTTGCAATGAGGGGCAATGGAAGGGGGAAAGGTTGTAGGCGAGGGTTTTTTCCTCTATCCTGCGCAAAAAAAACTTTTAAGTTATTAAAACTAAGGTAATTATTCAATAAAACAACAAAATATTGTTTATTAAAACCATTCATGATTTTTGTAAATCGCAATCATGTTTAGAAAATCACTAATATGTTTCTAAAAATCAGTTTAAAATTGAATAAAATATGTTTTATCAAATTTTATTATTCTTGCTATCGACATACCTTGCTATCGACATACCTTGCTATCGACATACCTTGCTATCGACATACCTTGCTATCGACGTCACAACATTTTATTATTATGCTTTAACTCTTTATATATATTCGAAATGTTTTTTAGTTGATGTTTTGCAAAAAAAAACAATAGTTTTTTGAGTTTGTATTTTTATGTTCAAGAAAAAGAGAAAAAAAAAGAACACATTGTAAAGACAATATACAGTTATAAAATAAAAATAGTAATAGTTTATTCAGTTAGTATTCTTATTTTCGATGATTATTTTTGAGTGGTGATTATTTTCAACAATTATTTGCGTGCAAATTCTTATCTCTCGGTACTTTATTTCTTAATCGTAATCTTAACTTAAGATTTTAACCACTGAACAGTGATGCCGGAGGCCGAAAGACTTCAACCACTGAA